GTCTCTAGAATTTTTGCAGTTACAAACAACAATGAACACCTTTGTACATATAGTTACAATTACTACTGTTTTTGTTTATTAATTGGTACTCTTATTTCTGTCATATTCCCACATGGAATGACTGGAATAAGGATTATGCATTTTTTTTATTGTAATTGTACAATTTCATGAGGTATCATAGGTTTCAAAGCATGTAGGCAGTATGTGATAATCAAATAAAGGTTATTACCACCTTTGTACATAAATTCTAAGTACTATCATTAGCTTTATATCTTCTTATATTTATCATCTTTAACAAAGAACATTACACTATATTGTACATATTCTATATTTTTAGATATATGTACAATTTTTGATATATATGTGTGTGTGCATATATATTATATATATATATATAAAATAAATACACACACACATATATTTATATATAAAACATTGGTGATGTCTTTTTTTTTTTTTAATCTGTTGTGGTATACTGTTCCATACCCTATTTGTCTTCGTTACATGCTTTTTTGTGTCTGTTGAATGTTTTTTCCTGAGCCCTTCCCCACCAAATCTAATCCCCCATGTAGTCTCTGGTGCCTACAGATGACCTCTCTCATTTTATGTCTTCAAATCTTTCCAATTTCTGCCATGGAGTGCAGACATTTGGCATATTTTAAGTTGGATCATATCATGTTTGTCTTTCATGGGCATCTTTTATAGTCTGGACAGTCTTCTGGATTCATCCATTTTGTATCAAATGACAGAATCTCACTGTTCTTTCTGGCTACATAGTGTTCCACTATGTGTATGTGCTACATTTTCTTAATATAGTCATCAGTCATTGGGTACTTAGGTGAATTCCATGCCATAACTAGTGTGAATAATGCTGCAATAAATGTGCATGTGAAAATCTCTCTCAAGCAGAGTCATTTCCTCCCCTTTGAGTAAATACCCAGGAGTGAAACTACTTAGTCATATGGTAGCTCTATTTGTACATTTTTGAGGAATATTATTATTTTTATTATTACATCCATATTATTTTCTTTTTCTTTAAAGAAATTATTATTTATTTAACTTTATTTATTCATTCATTTATTTTAATTTGACCAGAGAGAGAGAGAGACAAAGAGAGACAGAGAGAGAGGGAAAGGGAGAAAGGAAGCCACCAGGTCTGGGACTTGAACTGTGGTCGACCATGTGGGAATGTCCAGCACCTTAACCACCACGCCACCTGCTGGTTCCTTTATTTTTTTTTTAAAACTTCACAAAATTTTTATTTTGGGACCAGCAGTTAGCGTAATGGCTATGTCGCTGAACTCCCATGTAGTCGACCACGGTTCAATTCCTGGACCCAGTGGCTTAAACTCACGCCGGGCACGTGTGCATGCGTGCCCTAGATCCTGAGAGGAGAATGGAGGAGAAGGGATTGCGGCATAGCCAACCCCACTGGGAGTGAGTTATTGCTTTCTGTTTCTCTGTTTCTCTCTGTCTGGTGAGTGCAAGCACCCTATAGCAAAAACCTCTCAAAAATTTTTTTTATTTTAATTTTTTTATATAGTAAATCATATATGTCCCTTACTTGTAAAGTGAATGTTCCAACATAAATACATTTCTCACCAGTCCAGCTGGGGATACTACACGTTATCATCAACAGATAATAACCCATTTCTTTGTCCCATAAATGTCTTGCCTCTCCTTAATATCTTTCCTCAGACTCTCCTCCTTCTCCCACTCTCTTCCCATGCTGTGTCTGGCATCTATAACCATTTTCTAGAGGATATATAGAAATATCCTCTATTCATTCAGTTTTGTCCATAGAGTGCAGACAGTTGGTATATATTAAGTGACATACAATGTCTCTCCTTCATAGCCTGGCTTGCTTCACTCAGCAGTAAATCTTCCATATTCATCCACTTTCTGTCAAAAACCAGGGTCTTGTTTTTTATGGCTGAATAGTAGCCCATAGAGTATATGTGCCACACTTTTTCAGTCCATTCCTCTGTTCATGGACATTTGAGTTGGTTCCCTGTCTCAGCAATTGTGAATAATACTGCAATAACTATAGGTGTGCAAGCACTTTTCTGGATAAGCATTCTTCTGTCCTCTGGGTAGATACCAAGGACTGGGATTGTTGGATCATATGGTAGTTCTATTTTAGATCTTTGAGGAATCTCCATATTGTTCTCCACAGTGGCTCAACAAATTTACATTCCCACCAGCAGTGTGGGAGAGTTCCTGTTTCATACATCCCTGCCAGCACTTATCATTTTTTTTTTTTTAATCTTAGCCATTCTGACTGGGTTTAGGTGGTATTTTATTTTGTTTTTGATCTGCATCTCTTTATGATGAGGAATGTTGAGTATTTTTTCATATGCCTTTTGCCTATTCATTTGTCTTCCTAGAGAGTTGTTTTTTCAGCTTATTCTCTCATCTTTTTATTGGGACTGATAACCAAAATACACAGGGAACTCAAGGGGCTTACCCCAAAAGAGATGATCAGTCAGATAATCTGTTCAGACTGCCCATTTTAAATTGAATTATTAGTTTATTTTTTTTTAAGTGGGTGAACTACTTGAGTTTCTTTTACATTCTGTTTATCAGTCCCTTACATGAAGTGTAGTTTCCAAATATTTTCTCCCTTTCTCTGGGCTCTCTCTTTATTTATTGTTTTCTTTGTTCCACAAAAACTTTTTAGACTATTGTAATTCCACTTACCTATTTTTGGAGTTGTTGCCCATACTTTTTGGGTCATATTTAAAGAAATCTTTGCCTACTCCCATGACTTCAAGTGTTTTCCACAAATAGTTTTTTAATTTGAGGATTTACATTTATATCTTTAATCCATTTTGAGTTGATTTTTGTTAATGGTGAGAGATAGTGGTCTAGTTTCACTTTTCCACAGGTGAATATCCAGTTTTTTTTTTTAGCATCATTTGTTTAAAAGTCTTTCTTTTCTCCACTGGTTCATTTGTGCCTTTTGTCAAAAATTAGTTGAATGTATCTTTTGGGGGTTATTTCTGGATTCTTTATTCTGTTCTATTGGTCCATGTGTCTGCTTTTGTGCCATTACCATGATGTTTTGATTATTACAGCTTTGTAATATACATTGAAGTGGGTAATGAAAAGTTTCCAACTTTATTCTTTTTGACATTATTGCCTTAATAATCTTTTATGATGATTTTTTCTATTTCTCTGAAGAATGTTACTGGTAATTGAATAAGAATTACATTAAAGTTGTAAATTAATTTAGGTAGAATTGACATTTTAATTATACTGATTCTTCCAATCCAAGAACAAGGAATATCTTACCATTTTGAGGGTATCTTTTTCAATTTATTCAGCTTTCCATAATTTTCATTGTAGAGGTCTTTTACTTCTATGATTAGATTTATTTCTAGGTGTCATTTTTAAATTTTTAAAGTATGTGTGACTATTTTAAATGTGATTTTTGTTTTCATTTCTGCCTTAGTGTATTTATTGTTGATATATAAAAATAGCTATAGATTTTTCTGTACTGATTTTGTATCTTGCCACTTCACTAAAGTCATTTATCACTTCTAGGAGTTTTTTCATGGATTCTTTAGGGTTTTCTATGTATATAATCATGTCATCTGCAAATAGGAGCAATTTAACATCTTCTTTTTCTATATGAATAAATTTTATTTTACTTTCTTATCTAATTGCATTGGTTAGGACTGCCAATACTATGTTAAAAAGGAGTAGAGGAAGTGAGAAAATTTGTCTTGTTCCAGATTTTAGTGGGAAAGCATTCAGCTTTTCCCCAAGCAGTATGATGTTAGCTATGGGTTTGTTATATACCGCTTCTATGGTTTTAAGAAATGTGACTTCTATACCTATTTTGTTGAGAGTCTTAATCATAAAGGGATGTTTTATTTTATCAGATGCTTTTATTGCATCAGTTGATATAATCGTATTGTTTTTACTTTTCCTTCTGTTAATGTGATTTATTACATTTATTGTTTTGTGTATATTTAATCATCCTTGTATCCCTGGGTTAAAGCATATTGGTCATGGTGTATACTCTTTCTGATGTACTATTTGATTTGACTTGCTAGTATTTTGTTGAGAATTTTTGCATCTATATTCATCAGGGATATTAGTCTGTAATTTTTTTTTGGGGGGGGGAGAGGTTTTTGCTATAGGGCACGTGCGCTCGCCAGACATAGAGAGACAGAGAGAAAGAAAGTGAGAAATCACCTCCCAGAGGGGATGGCCACGCTGCAATCCCTTCTCCTCCATTCTCCTCTCGGGATCTTGGGCACGTACGCACATGCGCCCGGCGTGAGTTTTAAGCCACCGGGTCCAGGATGCGAACCATGGTCGACTACGTGGGAGTCCAGCGACATAGCCATTACGCTAACTGCTGATCCCAAGTCTGTAATTTTTTAAAGAGATTTTTGTTATAGGGTGTGTGGGCTTGCTGGAGAGACAGAGACAGAAAGAGAAATCACTCCCCAGAGGGGATGGCCATGTCGCAATCCCTTCTCCTCCATTCCCCTCACAGGATTTTGAGCAAGTGTGCACATGTACCTGGTGTGAGTTTTAAGTCTCCAGATCTGGAACTCAAACTGCTGTTGGCCTTATGGGAGTCCAGTGACATAACCATCTTGCCATCTGCTGGTCCCAGTCTGGAGTTTTCTTTTTTTGTTGCGTCCTTGTCTACTTCGAGGTGATGTCAACTTCGTAAAATGAGTTTGGGAAGGTTCCTTTCATTTAGATCTTTACAAATAGTTTGAGGACAATTAGTGTTAATTCTTCATTAAAATTTTTGCAGTGAAGTAATCAGAACCAGCGCTTTTTGTTTGTTTGTTCGTTTGTTTGTTTTTGGGGATGTGTGTGTGTGTGTGTGTGTGGCAAGACTGCTACTGATGAAATCTCATTGCTTATAATTGTTTTATTCAGATTTTCTATTTCTTTCTGGTTCAACTTACATATATTGTAAGTGTCCAGAAATTTGTCCATCTCTTCTATGTCTTCTAATTTGTTGGTGTATAAAAAATATGTAATGCTTCACAAATTTGTGTATCATTCTTACACAGTGGCTGTGCTGATATTTTGGTAATGTTCCAGTTTTACTATTGGAACTACATTTTTAACTGTAAAAATTACTGCTATATGGCTTTAGAAATCATAGTGGAAAGCACCACAGAACATGAGTGCCCAATTTCCCACAATTTTGTTAGTAAAAGTTGCTAGTAAACTTATTTTAAGTTGCCATACAGATTTTTATTACATATGGTTTTCATGTTTTAGTATGTGTCAGCATCAGAGTTAGTCCTATTTTTAATAAAAAGCCATTGTGTTACAAAATTCTAATTAGACATTGTAACATTCAAAACTAATAGGTGTTTGATTTTTAAAAATTTATGTTTTTATTTAAATTTATTTATTTACATTCATTCTCTGTACCTCATTACAGCATACAAAATGAGATTTTCCATCCAGAATACACTGTATATTGGCTCAATTTGCTTTTAGATTATTTAATAGCATCAATATATTAATATATTCAAATAGTATAAAATAGGCAATGATAGATTCTTATATTGTATATATGTGTGCATTTGCGTGTGATCTATATAACAACCCTTATCCCTTAATGATAAACTAGATGTGGATATAGAGTTAGAGAGAAATAGATATGTAAAAGAGAAAAGAACACAGTTAGTTTACTTGATTCATAAAAACCAAAAAGTTGTTAAAGGAGAGTAACCTGTGACAAATATAACAAAAATGAAAATACCAATAATACTAGAAACAGGGGAGAATTAGTTTATCATATATACCATGTACGGTATGTTATGTGTGTGTGTGTAGTGTGTCTGTATCTCTCTGTCTCTCTCTCTACACACACACACACACACACACACACACACACACATCTTTTCGGTTTCTAGGTTTATTTGTTCTTATGCAGCTTTTACTAGGTGTGTTTAGCTTAGTTTCTGATTTTCAATCCTTTCTTGCTTGCCATGAAATCCCAAATGCCCTGAAACGTTGTTGTGTAGTGTTCTCATATCATTACTTTATAAATAGTCTGTAATATCAATTATGCATTTCTATTTAATTCAATTCTAATTTAGGAGATGTTTTCATATTTCCTGTAGATAAATTTTAATTTTTTGGTTGCTAATGTTTAGCCTTATTGCATTAGAGCTGTAGAAGATGGTTTGCATGATTTCTACTGTTCAAAAATCTTTGGGGACTGTTTTTCTGGTCTAATATGTCATCAGTTTTATAAATGTTCCATGCATATTCTGCTTCTTTTGTTAGAAAGTTCTCAATATACCTCTTAAGTCAAGCATGTTAATTTTGCTATTCAAAAATTCATTTTTGGAATGTGATTCTTTTGATTTCTGAGAGAGAAGTACTCAAATTTTGTATTACTAATATTACAGTTGTCAATTGATTTTTGGAATTTGAACAGATATCTTTGAAAAAATGTAGTATTATAGTTGAATGTTCAATGCACTGATTTGATATCTTCTTTATAGATTATGCTGTCTTTGTCTTATTTAATGCTCCTTGCCCGGACTGACTCTAACGTTCCCATTCCTACTTTTTATTACTCGCATTTGCCTGCTATATCTTTGTCCATCCTTTCATATTTGATCTTTCTGAATTATTTCCTTCCCGACGTATCTCTTGGAAACAGATATACCTGGGCTTTGCTTAAAAAAACCTAATCAGAAATTTTCTGCCTTTAAATTGGTAAATGTATCTGTAGCTGTTCACTATGAAAATGGAAACATTTGGTCTCATTCTGACATCCCTGTTTGGTTCCCTATTTTTATGTAAATTAGTTTTTACTCTTTCCTGAAGTGATGGCGTTTTCTTTATTGTTTTTTGTTTACTGGTTTGAAGGGTATACATTCTAGCACTATTGATCTGGGGCTTATATTCACTTTTTGAAAACATATTTAAACAGGCTTCGTTTCACCAATTTATAGCATTACTCAGTTTCTCCCACTTCCTCCTTAAACGAGAGTGTGCATTTGTTTGTTTTCTTTTTCTACATTACCGCCTTCTCTGTTTTTGACATAGGCCAAGATTTTATTTCAGTCTTGTATTGATTTTATTTTTACATCTTGCCTCTAAAGAATTGTTTCCTAATAAATAGACCAATCTTAAAAGCATCATTATGAATCATTATTTTGATCTAATTATACGTTTTATGTATTTTTAACTTATTATTTCTGAACTTTTATGTGTTTCTTCCTTGAATTTTTCTTTCAGTTTTTCTGACACACACTTATTTATTTATTTTATTTCATTTGTTATTATTATTTTTGAATTTTACCAGAGAGAGACAGAGAGAGAGAACGGGAAAGCAAGAAAGCAGGCCGCTAGGTCCAGGACTTGAACCGCAGTAGGCTATGTGGGAACCCAGAGCCTTTAACCACTACACCACTTGCTGGCCCCTCTGGCACACACTCTTGAATGAGTTTTTCTTCTGTTTGTTTTGTTCTTTCTTTCTTTCTTTCTTTTTTTTTTTTTGCCATAGGGTGTGTGTGTGCTCACTAAAGAGAGACAGAAAGAGACAATGAGAGAAAGTGAGAAATCATCTCCTTGGGGAATGGCCACTCCTGCAATACCTTCTCCATTCTCCTCTCAGGATTTTGGGCTTGCATGCATACATACCTGATGTGATTTTTCAAGCCACCGGGTCTAGAACTTGAACCATAGTGAGCCATGTGGGAGTCTAGCACCTTAACTACCACCTCACCTTCTGGCTACTTGAATAAATTAAAAAAAAAATTTTTTTTGTTGTCAGAAGGCACGTTTTTCATTTCTTAGTCCTGTTGAAATTTGGGGCATGCAAAGCACATGAGCTCAGCATGTATTTCAAGCTACTGGAGCTGGAATTCAACCTGTGGTCATTTGATATCCAACTCCCTTTACCACCAAAGTGGCCCGTGAGTAGGTTTTTGGGAAGGCTTTGATGGTGGACAGCACATATTTTGAGTGCTTCGGTGTAAGTAAATGGTTTTCCTGAGTATTGGGACTAGAATATGAATACTAGAGTATTAGGACCCAAATATGTTTCCTTTTAAACATGGAAGCAGTTTCTCTCCTTTAGTTTAGTACATAATTTTTTTTTTTCTTTTTTTGAGTGAAGGATGAAACAAGCAGGCAGCCAACTGGCTTGTCAAGCTAATATTTTTTAGGTGCAATATTAGGCCACGGCCACAGGATTTCAGAGAAGGTAACACTGATTTTTGAACAAATGTCTGTGGGAGAAAGGAGAAGAGAATGATTGAATTTGCCTAGGGTAATTCCCTATATTTAAGGTGACTAGTGAAGCCAAACCAGAAATGTAATAGATTTATAATTTTGTTTGCTCCATATTCTGGTTCTTATATTAAAATATTAGATAGAGGGGCCAACAGATGGCATGGTGCTTAAGTGCTGGATTCCCACGTGGCTGACCAGGTTTGAGTCTTGGCAGCTTGAAAATCATGTCAGGCTCATTCACGTGTGAGCCTGAAATCTCAAGAGAAGAATGGAGGAGAAGGGTTTGCGACTTGGCCATTCCCTCTAGGGGTGATTTCTCACTTTCCCTCTCTCTATGCCTCTTGGGTGAGTGCACATACCCTATGGCAAAGACCTTTAAAGAAATGCTATATAGAACTAGAGTAGATAAATTTATGCTAAATTAGAATGAAATAGAACCTAAAATAATTATGTTGTTCTCCAAATATCAATAAATCTTATTCTTGTTCGAGTATCTAAGTATATACTCTTCCCCTTATCAGATCTCTAATAGAGGTTGCCAAATTAAGGCCTGCCATTGTTTTTTGTATATAAAGTTTTATTGGAACAGTTATTCTCATTTGCGTATATATTATACAACAACAGAGTTGAGCTGTTGCAACACAGAATGCCTGGATAACAAAATCTAAAACATATTTTTATCTGGCTTTTTATAGAAAACATTTGTTGACCACTGTTCTAGGACATTACTCAGTGCCCAGATGACCAGGACTCATGTCAGCATTCCTACAAGCCAATAAAAATTAGATACAATAACAAATCTTGACTTCTTTAGGATATCTGATGACGCTAATGCATGCTCACAAAGCAAGATTGCCTAGATCTTATATTGGAAAAAACTGAAGCTTATCTGTCCATCATGCATAATTAAATGATTTCCTTCTTTCAATTTTGTTTCTTTATCGTGTTGTAGGAGTTGTGCAATTTAGCATTGCGGTTTTCATTTCTTTGACTGCATCACGTGAGGGAAGCTGGCATATTTTCTAATATGCTGTTGTGTGGGCTCGGGCTGCTGATTGCTTTTGGCCTAGGTGCTGCGCAGAGCTCCAAGGTTTGGCTTTGTGAACATTGCCTGGCAAAACGGAAACATTTTGTGAAATTTTACAAATGTCACACACACCCGCGCGCACGCGCGCGCACACACACACACACACACATTTTAAATTGCAAAATTCTTCCCCTTGGCACACAATTTTCCCCAGGTTTTTGTTCTTCATATTAAATCTTTAACTATCTTCAGTTCTATGGGAGCACTTTAGTGGGTCGACTTGTTTTTGTTTTCATGAATCTTGCAGTTAACAAGTCCTTGGTTTCCAGGGTGTTCTTTTTGTTTTCCCGTTCTCAAAAATTTAATATAATCTTTTATTTCAAAGAGGAAGCAGCTTTACTCGAAGCCCAACTGTTTGCTCAGACAAAGATCCCTGATTTAATTCCCACCGAAAATAATTTTTCAAGATGGGACCCAGAGAAAGAAAACCTCTCAGCTTTATTCTCCTAAACCCTGAATGAGGAGACATATGAGAGTTGAACTCAGAGAAAAACCGGACAACTTACATATTTTGTGTGCATTAATTAAAGCATCTAAGAAGTCATTAGAACAATGCTTATTCTCAGTAAAAATATGCCTCATTCTACTGTAATACCCTTCCTATCATGGGTAGCTAAGAGAACTTCACAATCTTCGAGTTTAGAATGAAGGGAAAGATAATATTGTTTGGTTACACATGACATTAAACCATGGGAGAGTAAGCTTTTGCTTAAAGTCATTCAAGATGTCTGTGAGGGTCAGGCAGGCTTTAACTTTGTGAAAGGTCGGGGTACCT